GAAACTGCTGGGGGTGCAGCTCAGGGAAGGACTCCCCGGGTCATTTAATGATCATGTAGGAATTACAGCTCAAAAACTCTGCTACTTCAATATTATCAGCAGCTTCAAATACACAGAACACCAGGAGAGGCAGATCTGAAGTTTCAGCCAGGACAACTGTACATGAAATATTGCTGCTTTGGGCTGACTGAAACAATTGAGTGTCACTGCCCCAGGTGAGAGACACAACAGTCCTGAGCCTTGTTGTACAGAGAGGGAACACAGCATAAGTCCTGGTTTCAACCCAAGTTTGGTGAACATCAGCTAACATTTACTTTGTACATTATTGCATGAGGCTTCAATTAATAGTCCTAAATTGATTCCACCTCTCCTGAAAATCAATAGCACCAACATCACTGACTTTAATGGAAAGAGAGCAAACCCTTTCATCTGCTTATCACTGCTAATCACACTGTTTGGCCAACAAGAGTGAGAACACTCCACAGAACGTTTCTGGGACAAAGCTGATAAAGTTTAATGCTTAAGTGACAATTTTAACCGTTTTACCTGGAGAAGCAAATTCATTTCCACAATAAACAGTGTAAAAACATAACAGAAACTCAGTGCACAGACCCCAACTTAAGACACCCAATATATACACACCTAAATTGGAAGGTAAATATATGCTGAATATTATTCTGAATAATTATGATCTTCTGACTCTGTTTTAAATACTTAATTCTTCTAATATTTAGGTTACAGAACACTTGAAATAAAATTCAACGTATGGCTAAGGCACATGTAATGATCCTCGCCTCCTTTCCAAAAGAAAGAGAAGATATTTGTAACTGATTCCTTCATTTTCCCCTACATTACTTCAGATATGCAGAACCTGAGTCTTCATCAAAGTTCAGAGTGGATTCTATTTTCAAAGTGCCCCAATTTTGGTCAGAGAGCTGAAACTGCAAAGACATTGCTCACGATCCACTGATCCATAGAATTCAGAGCACTACAGGAGTCTAACAATGGAAAAATACTGATGTAAAGGGTATGAAAAATGATGAAATGATGACTAAAAACAGTGTTAGAGCTGTTTGTCACAGCCTATATTCTTGGTTTATGCTTCTTCACTCAAAGACTTTTCACTTCTCTCAAAAATCTGACATCCATAGCAATGGACAGAGACATTTTATGAGCAAGTAAGACAGACAGCAAAAGATAAAGGAGCAAAAAGAGAGAAAGGGGGAATTGAGCAAAGTGCATATTTACTGAGAACTTACTGTTGACAACACCATATTTCTGAGCTATTAGTGCTGCCTGCAGGCTCTTCCCACTGCCTGGGGGTCCACAAAAGAGAATCCGTGGTGTAAAAGGAGCAGCTGATTGGCGTCGGGTCTGGACAAAGGTAAGAACTGGAGCAAGAGAGAAAGGTAAAAAATCCAGTTTATAGCCTATTTCTTTGAAAAAAACAAACCAAACATTGATTAACTCCTCTGTTTAAAAAACCCCAAACCTTATGTTGATGATCATTCATTTCATCACTGAAACATTCAGACACTGCAGCAAACATCAGGACTCAGATAAAACTGTCCTGTCAGCAACTTACCCTGAGAGGCACTTCAGAAATCTTACTATCATTACACTCCTCTACTTCCTTTCATCAGGAGCTGCCAAACCATTCTAAAGAGCAGCTTCAATTAATAATTGCTCTTTTACCATGTTGTTTGCAGCAGAAGTAATTTTTGCTTGATAGCTGCAATTTTACCATGCAAATGATCGAGGGCTATAATTACATTTAATACTTTCTGCAGTTTCTGAACAAATATTTAAGTGTAAAAGCTGAGGATGTTAAATTAATGACATTTAGCCAGCTGTGTGTGATTAAGGCTCCTAATTACAATACTCTAGGCTTGTAGCATGGGATGTCATGACACAGCACAGATCTGAGTATGTGTGTTTTAGTCTCCTGCCCATCACTTTTGTCTAACATGCAAAGATTATTTGAGCTTCTCTGACTCCACTCATTTGCAGGACATCATTCTCCTAAATTTTGCATCATGCAGGAAACAGTTCCTTCAGGTCAACCTGCAGGTTATGGGAGAAGAGAATGTTGTGTGGGGACCTCAGAGCAACTTTTCAATCTCTGAAGGGTGTCTGCTGCTGCAGCTCCTAGCCAAGAGTCCCTCTCTGGCTCCTTGTAGGCGCTCCAGAGATTCAAAAGTTGCTCTGAGGTCTCCACACAACCTTCTCTTCTCCAGGCTGAACAGCCCCAACTCCCTCAGCCTGTCCTCACAAGGGAGATGCTCCAGTGCTCTTAGCAACTTTGTGGCTTCCTCTGGACTTGCTCCAACAGCTCCATGTCCATCTTGTGTTGAGGACACCAGAACTGCACACAACATTCCAGATGGGATCTCAAATGTTCTCATTGTGTGAAACAATCCACAATACGAATACCTACAAGAGATCTCCTCTTCCCTTTTTAGCTCTATCTGTAGCAATAAAAATACTGAACAAACCCCCTGGAAAATCATCCCAGAAAATAGTGTGTTTGCTGCATAACTTCCTAAAACCCACATATGAGCTACCCAAGCACTGCTCCAGTTACTCTGAACGTTTTCCATAACCCAGTGCATTGAAAAGCACAAACATTACAGGCACAGCACCCTGCTTACAAATGATGCTTAATTTGCAGTAAATAACCAAGTTAATTAGGAGTAATGATCCCCTAGACAGTCTCCACATCTAATTATTCTTTAAAAAAAAATCTGGCTGCTTGATGCACTGCAGAAAAAAAAAAGATCTAGAGAGGATTTTTTCATTCCAGTTTTCAATTTATCTCACTACATTATTAATTAATAATAATTAATATTCAGGCACTCACATTTTTATTTACAATTCAAGGCATGAATTCTTTATGAATGATGATATGAACTTTTAAATTTAATTAAGTAATTTAGAGGTAATTAATGTGTAAATTCAGAATATAAACTTCCTACTTGTTTATCTTAAAAGTGCAGCACTTGTTATTAAAAAAAAAGACCTTTTTGAGATGCAAAATTGCTGGGATATAAGAGATCATCAGCAGACTGACAGCTACAAAGTACATCATCAATTGGTCTTTCTGGCAGTTTCCTTATTCTCTTCTAGAAGGATCAACATTAAAAGTCAGATTGCATTACAGTCAAGCAAAGGCAAACAAGAATTGTTGAACAGAAAAGCTAGCAGCACAAACTGCTTCTAAACAATGAAATGTTTCTGGCTTTGAACTACTGATTCTTGTTATTAGACTTTGGAAGGTACCTTGCCCTTTGGGATATAACAATGGAGTCACAAGGTCCCTTTGTGAAGGGATTTGAGCACAAGTGCCATGAGGAGAGGCTGAGGGAGCTGGGGGTGTTCAGCCTGGAGAAGAGGAGGCTCAGGGGAGACCTTATCACCCTCTACAACTCCCTGACAGGAGGTTGGAGTCAGGTGGGGGTTGGTCTCTTCTCCCAGGCAACCAGCAGCAGGACAAGAGGGCACAGACTCAAGCTCTGCCAGGGGAGGGCTAGGTTAGATATTGGGAAGAGATTTTTTGGAATGTGCTGCCCAGGGAGGTGGTGGATTCACCAGCCCTGGAGGTTTACAAGCTGAGACTGGATGTGGCACTTAGTGGCATGGTCTAGTGACCACAGTAGGGTTGGACTTGACGACCTCGGAGGTCTTTTCCAACCCATCTGATTCTATGACTCTATGACTCTTATTGAAGAGAGACTCAGAAATAGCAGTGATATTTGCTCTACTAAGTCAGCTGTTCCTTGGCATAACTGTGGGACTATGACTTTCCAGGTATTTGCACTTACTCCAGTCCTGGAAAATAACTACCAGGAACTAGTCCTAGAGAGAACACAACTCAGCTGGGACCTATGTGTGCAGACTAATCTATAAACTGTCTCTAATAGCCAGAAACTACCTTTCAAATATCAGTTACCAACAGTCAGATTTGCCATAAAGTCCATATTTACCCTGTGAGAGGACATCTATGGAAGGCTGGTCTACATTGATCGATTTCAGAACTTTCTGGTAGTTCTGGAAAATGTCAGGGAAGTTCCTGTGATATTCCAGCATTTTCGTTGCCACCTCCTGTTCAGAAAGATCTTCTGGTTCCACCAACCTCTGCTGCACCAGGGGATCACTTGGCCACTCGAAGGCTGTGTGGTAAACCTCTACAAGTCAGACATGATTAGGTATGAGAGAGGTCTCTAATTAATAATGTCCCTCCTAAAACATCCAAACTGATGTTTTTATTGATCACTGTCAGGATTTTATTTTGTGGTGGATGATTGGTAATAATCCTCAACAAACAACACAGAGCTCAGTCTATTTGACACTAATTGCTGCCTAATGACTGGTCATTTGGTATCCTTAATGGAGATACCTAAAAGAAATCTGCACCTCAGAAAACAACTAGGACCTAGCAAAGATGCAGAGCAAAAAAGGCTGATATGGACAGATCTAACCTTCAAATATTCTGTACTGCCACAGTCTACAGTTTGCTTTACATTTCCCTGTCTTGGCACAGAAAACACTGTAACATTAACAGATATTGTTTCCAAACAGTTTACATTTATAATCATAAATTACTGCTAGCTCTTAAAGGGATCCCATTTAAATTTTAATCCCAGCAGTACTACAAGGTTTCTGAGATCAAGTAACACTCCAGTTTGTAGTGGAGATTAGGAACAGATATACTGCACCTTGTGTGAGGGGATCAAGCCTCTTCCCACTGTTCCTCTCAATCAGCACAGTGTCTGGAGCATAAAGCATAACTAGGCAACACAAAGGAGAAGAGAAGAAAAAGGAAAAAAGTGTAGCTCTTGTTAGTGGCTTTATTTCCTGCAGCTCTTTAGATGTATCCTAGTAGTAAAGGTGGCTGAATGTATTTCAAGCACTGCACCTTGTGTGAGGGGATCAAGCCTCTTCCCACTGTTCCTCTCAATCAGCACAGTGTCTGGAGCATAAAGCATAACTAGGCAACACAAAGGAGAAGAGAAGAAAAAGGAAAAAAGTGTAGCTCTTGTTAGTGGCTTTATTTCCTGCAGCTCTTTAGATGTATCCTAGTAGTAAAGGTGGCTGAATGTATTTCAAGCACGTTTGCCTCATTGTCCCACTATTTTATATTTTAGTTCACTTTTAAATAGAATTTTGCTTCATCTACTAGGCAGTATAGTGGGGTAAAATCATCACAAATCTAGTACCCATGAGCAGTACTTGTCCCCACCACCCACACCAACTACAGCTGTCTCTGGAGCCAAGGACAGAAGCACTCAATGAGCACTCAAGGCTGAGTCTCTCCTACACCACAAACCATAACTTCTCATCAGGTACTTTGGCAGTGAGACCAGTGAAACTCATTTTTCTATAACCTCCCAGAAAAGTGTTCCAACTTGATTAGAAAGCATCAAAAGATGGAGAATATGTCAGTTCCCTAGGTTGCTTTTGGTTAATCATCCTCACAGTTAAACACTGTAATTTAATTACTATTTCCAGTGCACTTGATTACAGGTTTCAAACAAGGACTTTTATGACTTTCTTCTCTGTATCAAGTAGCTCTTTCAGGCACTTTTCTCCCTATTAAGGTACTCACACACTGTAATTCTCCTCTCCTCTCAATCTTCTTTTTGATTAACTAGACAGACTGAGATTTAAGATTCTCATTCAGGTCTTGGTGGCACAGATATAATTGTGAGCAAAACTCGACTTCAGATGTTATTAGGTACATTAAAAATACATGCAAGTACTAGACATTAAACATTTTTGCCTAACTCTATTGCAGCAATTCTGAGTTCTTCATTAACAGCTGAATATCATCCAAATCAAATCCAAAGTGACAATTCATCAAGTTGGATAACATTCTGTTCACTGGCAAGGTCTACACTCAGCATCTCACACTGTATTCCACACCATCATCATCATCATTTCTTATATTCTAAGTAGGTCCTTTAGCTATATTAATTTGGGACCACTGATTTCTCCTCCATGGCAGAGGCAGATGTTGAGGTCTTGTCACTCAGCCCTTTGCCAGTAAACAAATTCTCCATCCAAAGCAAGTCAGAATCTAGCCACACTCTGAAAGGTCAAGCTTAAAATCACCATGTTTCCACTTCACTGGGTGAAGTTTACATCCTCTAATTCAACAGAAGCATAAATTTGTGTTTAGCACACGAGGAACTGATTTAAGTCTGAGGATAAAGGCTGATTTTTTAGAGGTGCAAGTCAGAAGCAAAGCTGCATGTAGCTGCTCAGAGGCACTTGCTGCAGGGCTGTGAATCTGCACAGCTCTAATGTGCAAGAAGAAGAGAGTTCCTGTGTGAAAAGCAGAGTTTAAAGTCTCACAGGTTACCTCAAGTTTTCAAGTGGATCTGAATCATACTGAAATATTCTGCTGTCTGTTGACTCTGGTGCCTCCTGCATTGGTATTGAATTTATAGAGGATTTTTTGGGGAGAAACATTTCCAGCCTTTCCTACTGGCTGCAACCAGGCACAAACCTCGTGCTGCTTACCAACATGCCTAGGAAAGATGCCAGATGATTGCAGCATCCATGCCTGCTCCTGATTTTCAGGGAAGCCTTCCAAAACCCATCCCTATTGAACAAAAACATGAAACAGTTATTGACCCTGGAAGAGGAAAAAAAAAACAAACCCAAAAAATCATACTAAATATCAGTGCTATTTGCACAAAAATTACCTCATTCTGATCCCACAACAGCCCCTTGTTTGTTGTGGATGCTTGAGAGAGGAGAAAGCAAACATGGAGCACAGATACTTTTGTACTGATACCACTGCCACAGAGCTGTGGGAACTTAGGGATTGTAGCAATGAATATTTTTTCATGTTTCAATCTCAAAAAAAAAAAAATCCAACAAACCCAACTTCTATCTTGAATAAAAACAAGCCAAAACAATTTCTACAGTTTTGAAATATTCAAAAGGATATCAGCCCACACTGTGTATGGAAAGAAAAAAAAAGAGGCTAAACAAATCTAAAGACAGATTTAATGCCAAGAATACTGAGGAAAATATGCATGCTTTCATTATTTTCTTAAATTATACAGGCAAACTCACAGTAATGGAACCAGAGCTCCCAGAGCTAATGAAGCAACAGAGCAAAAGAAAGGAAAAAGAAAAAAGAGCCTTTTGCTCCCTTAAGTCCTTGTTATAGCCAACTAAGTGTTGGATTGAGCATCTTTAAAAAAACATTTACAGATCTGTGAAATACCGGCAGAGAGCTGCAGCCTCGCTCAGCTTTTGTCTGCTGCAGCCTCTGAAATCTAATCCACTTCCCAAGCTCCAGCCTGAATTGTCTCAACTCCCTCTAATTTATCTCTTAGTTGCTTGACCACACACGTCCTTGCCGCTGTATCCCACACCCCAAAACAACTCTGGGATGCTGCAATAAATCTGGGAGGCATCTTGGTACTGAAATAAAGGAGATGGTTTAATATTGCATTAGCTGGCAATCATTATCAGCTGCCACATAAATCTGCTGCTCTGTCAGTGTGGGTTCCAAAGGGTTTCAGACATTTCAGGGAGACACATCTCCAGGACTTCTCTAGGTGGGAATGGGCCATTCCAATTACACAAGGAAATAGAGTAGACTATTTAGAATTCCTTAATTAGCTGGTTTCAGGAACGTGTCATCCTGCTGATATTTGTAGAAAAGAAGAGTCTCAAGGAACTGCAAAGCATTTTTGCCACTCCCAAGTGTTTGCTCTGCCGAATTAGAATGAACCTCTGGCTAAGGTCACACAGGTGCTGAGAAATCAATTTATCCCTTGGGACTCGCAGGAGGCAAAGCTGCACAATATTTTGAGTTGTATGTTAAGAACTTCAGCACCAGTTTGGAATATATTGTATGCAATATATACATATATAAGCCCAGATCTTCTTCTAAGGAGAAATGGCATCTGAGGTCTGAAGGAAATAAATTGATGCCAATTTACACAGACTACAAATGTGGCTTATTTTCTCCTCTCTGAGTGCAACAAAAAACTAAACAAAAGAAACTAAACCAAAACAAATGAAAAGAAAAAACAAAACCTGATGTCACCACTGCTCATTGCTCAAATCACATAAGGTGAAACAGGCAGTAAACACAATATTGTATTTTCACAATCCCCAGCAAACTCCAAGAGCTTTAGATACAAATTTCAAAGGTCCTTAAACCAGGCAAGAAGCAATTTTATAGCTAAAAGTTGGTGCTGTTTAAGAAAACATAGCTCAACAAACAGCTTCCTGCACCAAATATATTTTAAGGCATGAAACAAATACAAACCAAACACCCAGTACAAAAATGGTGAGCATTTTGGAGCTGATTTCCAAAGGTCTCCGAGTTCCAGGGTATCAGTCAGTCCCTAATTAGAATACATTATCCATCTACTTGACACTTCAGTGAAATGTCTATTCCACCACAGAGCTGCAGCTTTGTTCAGAACAGGTTTATTGATATTCTGCTGCATTCCCTCTCCATACCCCCAGTGGCTTGGTTCTGTTTTATCACACATCAAAAAGGCCGTATGCTCAGGGCACCCCATGCACAGCTCAGAGCTGGAGGTCTGAACAGCTGCAAGTAGTATGGTATCACAGGAGGGACAAGCTCCAAGCAGATGTCACAGATAAAAAAAAAAAGGGGGGGGGAAAGGAGAAAAAAAAAAAAAGAGTGAAAAGGGAATATGGCTTGGGAATGAAGCAGGAGGAAACAAGACACAGCAGAGCAAGACCTGACTTAAAATATGCCTATCATGCTTTATGCAAACACTGGTCTGTCTTGCCCTCCTGACTGTCATTAAAGTGTAATTAGTAACTTCACATGGTAAATTTGTTTCTTTAAGAAGCCATCTATTTTTTGTTCTTGAGAGCAGTAACCTTACATCCATGCCTGGATGGCAGCTGATCACACCAAGGGTGGAACAAAGGCTAAGAGTAATTCCATGGTGTCTTTACTCTGTGGTCACTGTTCCCTCTGTTCCAGCTGGAAACCTCCATCCCTTCCCACATGAAGGTTGCTGTAAAATAGAGCATTCTGCTGCTGCCTTGATGCCAGGTGAGGTGCTCCTTGGAGAGCCAGGCCATGCTGAAAAATCAGCAGCGAGGAAACACTTTCAAAGCCACCACTTTCCTCTCCAGATTTAGGGAATCTGGAGAGAAGGAAATGCTCAAGGTCATTCCCAAATGTAAATCTCACTCCTTTGCTGGCAGGACTCTCAGCTATAATACCAAGCCCACATACTTTCACACTTTCCACCACACTAATAATGACTTGGGTATTCAGGTTCTCTCCTGTTTTTTGACCTGGACATCCTTCCTTAGTTTTTTTAATTACAAAATCCCAAACTGACACTGCCTTTGGATAAGGAAAAGGGAGAACACAAAGAAATAATGCTGAATTGGGTGGCATATCTGAAAGAAATCTCAGCCACATGCAGAAGTCATGAGTGCTTTTAGGAAAACAAGTAATCACAACAGTTTTTTCCACATCATTATTCAGTGGGTTTGAGTAAGTTACATGGTATATAATTCAGTCATAGCTTTGCCAGGATGGATCTGAAATTTCTCAGATTTTCAGGAAACAGACTGAGGGGTGCAGTGGAAACACTGTCAACCCACAGCATTAGCAGTATGGATGATAGGAGAAGCTCAAGCCTTACCACATTTCCCCTTAGAATGAAACCTTTTATCCCCAACCTTATTTTTGTCAGTTCAATAAAAGGTGCAAAGCTATTTTAACAAGTCCTGTTCTTCAGAAAACAGAAAAGATGGTGAACAGGCAGATTCTCTCCCCAGATAAATCTATGTAACATCACTGTCCTTGCATGGAGTTTCACAGGGACAACATGATGATCTTTAACTACCAAGGTACCCACTGCTCTCTTTGTCCTCCCTTTCAAGGACAGTCACTGTCCTTCTAGACTGTTTAATAGCAATCTAAAATCATTCTGCCACTTGTTGTGTGAGTCACTGGCCTAAGCTTAGTTTCTAAAGATCCTAAGTCTTCAGGAAGGTGGCTCAGCTCTCTCTCTCTCACATCCTGTAGCAGTCTCTTCTCTGGCTTTCTCCAGCTCTGTGAACTCCCTCCACAGCCCCAGCAGTCAGAGGGGCCACAGCCAACTTGTGCTAACCCTGTGAGATGAAAAGTCTCCACACATCAGCTTCCCAAGTCCCAGGCTCTAACATAATGTTTGCAATAAGTTTTCTGTATGTGCTGGAAGACCTCCCCATCTGATCCCTCCCAGTCCTAACTCCGTTTGTGTTAGGAGAACACATAACACAGAGTCTCAGCAGAGCTGTTGATCAATAAAAATGTTCTCCTTAGAGAATGCCTGTGACATCCATAAACCTGTGAGTGTCAAAACAATGGCAGAAAAAATTCTGTATTCCTCCTGGCAGTGGGATGAAAGCTGTACAATTAATGCCAAGCCAATGACACCACAAGGAGAAATAAAACAAACAGCTGGTGGTACTGTGGTCCAACACACTGCTCCTAGTCTATTAACATTTCCTGTCAAAACATGCTGACTCATGTTTTCAAAGAAATGGCATAAATCTGTTCAATGATGTACAAAATCCACAGTGTTAATCCCATTTTGAATCACACACGAGGAAAATATTGCAATTAAAATGCCTAAATCCCCTTTTGAATGAGACACACTCGAAGTGACCACAAATTACTCTCTATTAAAAATTTCTAAGAACCATCACACCTTTGGAAAACTAATTGTGTGGGTTTTTTCTAAAACCAGCTGAAACTTTAAGTAGCTTGAGAACATCCATTCCATTCTTGCTGAATGTCAGGGAAGCTTTATAAAGGGTTGTTTCCCCCCTAGTTCTGTCAGTCTGATTCAGTGCTGCTGGAGATCACAACAGGAACAGAAAATGTAGGCAGGACTCTGTGCAGCTCTTGGCATTTTAACCACCTTGTCACCTTACTCAGAGTTTTGCATGACCTAATACTTAAATAATTCACCAAGAGATCCTTCCCTCACTATTGACAGGAGAATTACATCCATGCCAAAGCATGGGACAAAAAAGCAATGGATTTTACTTATAACTAACAGCAAAACTCCCTTTAACAGTATCGTAACAAACACTGGGAAAATTAGCTGTTGAAAACACTTTGTTTTAATCAGGCAAAGAGACTTATGTGAAAAAATAAGCATGCTGGAGAGGTTTTAGAGCTGTTATAAAAGCCCTAAAGTGAAGAGTTATTCACCTCCTTGCTAGTTCACACCAGCTCCTGCCACCCAACAGCTCCTCCAGATAGCAACAGGGGACAGATTGCTCCAGTAGCTACTCTCTGTGAGAGATCACATGAGAAAACTTTTAACCAAAACTACTGGAAACACCAGGAGTCCCTGAGCATCTTCCCTGTCCTCCCTGCTGACTGCTAGAAGCACAACCAGAGAAGCTGTTGGTGTCCAGCTGAGTTTGGGGTTTGACACCACAGCCTGGCACTTCCCAGTCAGAGCAGCAGTTTCTCTCCTGGGTTTATCATCTTTCTAACTTCCTCTCATTTCTACAGGTTTAGAGATATTTTAAACAGACTCACTTGAGGAGAAGTTTCACTTGAGATAGATGTTCCACATCTTGCCACAAGGACAAGGCAGTAAATCCTACGCTCACCTGACTTGCTGTATATCCATGATATCTCTGCATACATAAAAAATGTTGACATTCATAGTCTTTTTTTCCTGCTCATTTGTTAGTATATCTAGAGCTGACAATATTGGTTCCTACAGCTACACTCTTTAATCCAAAATGCCACAGAAATGAACAAGACAGCACATCACATGTGTGTTTTTAACAGCTTCTCCTGCCAGTTGAAGGGCCTAAGTCCTGTGTGAATTTATTACAGATAAACAAACACATTAAGCAGTACCAGACATTTGATCTGAAGTGCTAAGTAACCATTATGAGTCAAAATAAAATCAAATAGCTCAGCTAAAAAGATCTTCATGGGAAACCAGACAGACCCATATAATTCACAGTGACTTGCTATGCGAAAGTTTCATTCTACTTTGCAAATTCAAAGCTAATAGATCAATTATGGAGTAAGGTGAGGAGTATTTTGTGAAGAAAAATTGATAAACCTTAGGTTTTCTGCCAATCCTTTCTTTCTAAGGATGCAATTTTCACACTTCAATGAGAGGTTAATTACCAGCCCTGTTTTATTCAGCTGACAAGGTAGATGATGATGATGATGTTGAGAAGCAACAGATTTTATAACACAACTCTGAGCCTGGCAGTAGCTCTATGAGGTCTGGTACCACCTCTCCCCTGACCCAAAGAGGTGGGTGCAGCAGTGATTGCTCTGAAAACACGTAGTATTGATGAGAAAAAAAGCTGTTTAGTCTTTCAGGAACACAACACCTACTTTGGAATGGACTTTTTCCCCTTGATAATGTGCCATCCTGATTTTGGCACTGGCTAGAAACAAGGTTTGCTATGTCACTTACAAATAATCCCTTATAATGGGCTGAGAATGAGCTCAATAAGCCATAACAACATCTGAGTTTTTCAAGGAAAAGCATAAAAATGATTTTGCTTTCTTTGAGTCCAGACATTAAATTCAACCAATACCAAGCTACTAAAGTACTCTGTTAAAAGTCTCATGTTAAGGCCAAGCAAATAGGGAGGAAAAAAGGACATCCTAATAGAGCTAAACCTATTAAGCTGCCTATTTGTGTAAGGTAACGGTGAACACATTAATGACTACCTATAAGAGAACACATTCAAATGCAGCTTTCCCTAACACAGGAATTTAAAAGGAAGATACAATGAGAAATAAAACTGAAATGAGTAATATTAGACATTTTCCCCCTTTCCTCGATAAGAGTTAAAAATCTGAACATATTGATTTTTATATATTTTCTGTTTATCTGTTTTGTCCACTAGATCTCTGCCAGTTGCCCCAGGCAATCAACAAAGCTATGCTTGTTCAGCCTTTGATCATCTCTGTGCTGGAAGATTAGCATATGCAGACTCTCATCCTCCCCTTTATCCTGTTAATAAAGCTCCAAACTCCCTGCGCTGATGTTCAAGAAAGCAAAAGGCTCCGGAGCCCCAGATGATTTGCCCCCATTCCCTCCTCTGCTCAGGACTTGGAATGCTAACTACTATGCACGAGTTGTGTAAGTGCTTATCCACCAGCCCTCTGAGGAGCAATTCTTACTTGTTTGATGCAGTCCACGTTTGACAGACGTTCCTGGATCAGATTGGCCCAAAGCGCGTTGGGAATTTTCTAAAGAAAAAAAAAAAAAAAAAAGGCTGAATATTCACAATTGAGTTCAAAAGGAATTTTACCATGCAGGAACATTCTGGTTAAAGGTGAAGTGAGATGTCGTCTTGAAAATATTTTTAAAAAAATAAAATAAATAATTCCCTGCAAGTCCCAAGTCATTAACAGGAGTTAATGACAAAGAGTTAATAAGGGCACAAAAAGCAGTGTTCAAGGTGAGCTGAACACAAAGCCCATATCCATGGGGCTTTTGCACAATGACATGGAAGCAGTGCCAAGTTTTGCACACTAACACACACACACTGGACATCAGACCTGCAAAGGGATCCATAAGAACATTATGGATCATCATAAGTCATTTCTTTAACCACAAGGGTCTGACCTGTGACTGCTCCACGCGTCACTAGGGATCTCACCAGCTCCTGGTGAGACCAACAGGACCTCAGACACCAAAGAGTCTGAGTTGCAGCTTTGTTTCATAACTTCAAATAACTCTAATCATCCAGAAAGTTTGTTTAAAATATACTTTATAGTTCAAGTTAGTTTATTATTCAACTCAGGACTGTGAAATGGAATGGAAACCATCTGACGATATTTTCTGAAGTGTTGTTTAGTTCTGTGATGACTTTGTCCATATCTAAGAGATGTTTGGTAAGAGGGTATTTGCTATTTGACAGAAGAACAAAGATCCTCTACAGATTTAGCACCCCCAGCACTTCCTCCCTTGTATTAGATTTCCTGACAAGTCATTAACAATACCTTTCTTTCTCTTTGTAAGAATTTTCTTCACTATTTTGTTAATTTAGGTCTTCATTCTGTGCTGAACTTGGTTAAGCTCTGTGTTAGCCAGTTTAACTTGATAGTCTAAACCTCTGTCCATGCCACTCAGAGCAGCTGATAATAATTTGACTAAATGATTTGTCTCAGTTTGTCATTATTGGTGAAATGAATACTTGGGGAAAAAAAAGTGTGTTCACTTCTGCAATAAGATTCTCTACCTCCCAATTAAAATAAATTATCTTTCCCTTAACAATGAGTTTGACTCTTTGTTCCCTGCAGTTCCACATATTGTGGGTTCCCATGTGTTTTTTCCAGTCAGTCTGAAGGGTATAAACCTAAAGAGGAGCATTTCTGTCAGCTTGTGCTATACTAACAGAGGTAGAGAGATATAATGACAACATGGCTGACAATGACAAAAGATTTAATAACAATCTTATTCATTAGACCATGACACAACTTCCCCAGGAGTGGTGGAAATGCTACTACACAAGTGACTTGAAAGGAGAATGGAGAAAGCACTCCAGAACACACAAAAGGGCCCAGTCCTTGTGTGGCTGTGGCAAGGACAAGGGGTTTGTTTATCTCTACTGTCCCCACTTCTCAGTGCCTTTCCTAGCATCAGCCATTCATCAGGCAACATCCAAGCAGCTAAAAGAGAAAAAGGGAAAGAAATTGCTGCATTTCTTGAAAGTCAGCAGGTCCCACAGGGTGGTGTGTCAAAGCCTCCTGCAGCCCCTCACTGCTGGAGCCTGGGCCTGTGGCTTTGAGCCCATCACCTTCCAAAGGTGCATCATGCTGCTCTCAGAAACAGACAGCGTCTTCCTTCCTTCTTTCATGTGTCATGTCAAGACAGGCTAGAGACTGCTGGGGGTCCACTCTGCTAAGCCTTGCCAAACCAATTTAAACCAGAATTATACTAACTTCTTTCAGTGCAGTGATATGCTTAGGCCTCCCTCTTGAGCAGGGTTTATTGCACAAAAACAATCAAGGGCACACATGCAGGTATTTCAGTGTTTTAGTTCCTTCTGCTCTCTGTGGCTCAATTCCAGTCTCATTTCCTGGGCAGTTTTCCTCCTACTGAGCAGTGTCCTACAAAATCATTTTCAATAGGTTGCTTGCAGAATGCCTAATTATTCCACTAGAAATCATCATATCTGATACAAACCAAGTAATCCATTTACAGTTTCTCTCTCAAACACTCACACAAGTATATCATTAGACTGGTAGATGGGAATGTCCCTCCCAGAAATCTGAAATGATGGGCAATGACACAGAATTCTGAACTGCCAAACCACATCTTACCTTGGCACTCTGAGCTGTCCCAGCACTTAGATCTGTTAATGGAACCACCTCTGCAGTGGGATTTTGTTGATGTTCAGATCACTTGTCCATACACACTGGGTTAATCACTATTTTCACACTGCTGGAAAACTGTACTCACTCATGATTCATTTTCAATATTCCATGTTATTTCAGGGACTTCAACTCCCCTGATCTACCCTGATCCATTCAGCTAAAAACTGACTTCTCCAAGTTGGCACCTTGGAGAGAACGGCAATCAAGTTTGAAGAACTTTGGTTTAATATTCTGTGAATCATGATTAGATTTAGCTTGTTCAGATAAATACAAATGAAAAGCTGATTTTTTTATGGATGCACAAGACTGGAGCAGTTCCTATTTGTTCCTTCATAGTGGCTTACCCTGGAACAGATTGGAATGCTGACCATGCACAGGTAAGGATGCCTTGGGTTTCCCTTTCTTCTACTGTGTCCAGTTCTGGGCCCCTCAGTTCAGGAGGGACATTGAGATGCTGGAGCAGGTCCAGAGAAGAGCAACGAGGCTGGTGAAGGGACTGGAGCACAAGTGCCATGAGGAGAGGCTGAGGGAGCTGGGGGTGTTCAGCCTGGAGAAGAGGAGGCTCAGGGGAGACCTTAGCACCCTCTGCAACTCCCTGACAGGAGGTTGGAGTCAGGTGGGGGGTGGTCTCTTCTCCCAGGCAACCAGCAGCAGGACAAGAGGGCACAGACTCGAGCTCTGCCAGGGGAGGGTTAGGTTGGATATTAGGAAGAGATTTTTTACAGAGAGAGTGATCAGACACTGGAATGTGCTGCCCAGGGAGGTGGTGGATTCACCATCCCTGGAGGTTTTTAAGGTGAGACTGGATGTGGCACTTAGTGCCATGGTCTAGTAACCACGGTAGGGTTGGACTCGATGATCTTTGAGGTCTTTTCCAACCTGGTTGATGCTGTGATTCCATTCTATTACTTCTTAAAAAGCACAGGGACATGATGCAACTCTAGAGCAGTTTTAAGCTATCAAGTACATGCAAACACCTTAACTGCAGTTCCGTGCAGCATGAAGAGCACACCCATCCCATAAACCCACAGTTACCACAGCTGTTCCAACTGCTTATTTTACCCAGTTAAGAGGAAAAGTGAAACATGCAGTAGCTCATCATTAGACTTCACTATAGGAAAACGTGAAGACGCTTCTTATTAACATTATAACAACTAGAGATGAGGGAATAATTTGCAATGATTTATCCCAAAATGTAGCCTCTTTTTCTGTTCATGGAATATTTATTGCTAGCTCATGGTTCTTCAATTGACTGAATATTCAAAAAAATATTTGACTTCTTTTTGGAGTATTTTTACAAGCAGAATGATCCCATTTTGCTTTGAACAGTCAGTATTTAAGATTCACTACCTGAGCTGTGCTCATTAGGCAGTGTCCAGGTGTGTGGGGGTGAATGATTGCATGTCCAACTTGAGAAACTGAGCTTCAGTGAATAATCACCTATTTTAACTATGCCTTCCATGAATTCCTGTGCCAGGAAAACTCAAATGCTTTAACATTCACTGAGTGAAAGAGAGGAAACCTTGGCTAAAGAGAAGTAAAATATGTGAACAAACATTTGCAGAGCTTTTTGCAGCATTTGCCCAGATCTAGTAACATTGCCCTACTGACCTACAACAGCACAACCTTTGGCACTGGGGTTAATTCAGCCACAGTAACCTTATACACATGAAACATTCCTCTAACAACATTAAATCGAGTTATATGATCTTCACACCAGACTTCCAAAACCCACAGCCTGATTTCCTGCTTTTCCTCTTCTCCATTTATTAAATTGCTTTGGCCAGGACTACAACTTTTGAATGCCCTGGTGATATCAAAGATAGTGTAAACAGCTATTGTTCTGTTCCTGAACAGACATCTAAACCTATTAGTGCTAATGGATTCTCTATATGCTGCAGGAGTTGTTTACCACTTGCTTCAGCACAACCAGGGGTCAGTTACAGCAACAGGAGACTCAGGCAGCAGCCACAAACCAGGAAGAGAAAAAACAGCTCTTGAGATGGCAATTTGGCCACATTTTAAGTCAGTGTAAAGCTTGCACTGATCTAGAGGGAGCAAGGAGTTCCCTCCTAGTTCTAGGGGTTATGTTGGAAGAAAAACTCATGAAAGAACAACAGAAATTATTTGGTGAAAATATTCTTCCAGGGTCTAACACTGTGCCATGGTCTAGTAACCATGGTAGGGTTGGACTTGATGATCTTGGAGGTCTTTTCCAACCTGGTTGATTCTATGATCTCAAGACAAAGACAAACTGCACAGTGCTGAACCACCACCAGACTCTGCTCTTTGGGCCCTTCTCACTACCTGATTAGCCTTGACATTTTTGACTTTCATCTTTCACACCATCCATCTTTTTAAATCAAATAAGCCCAAAAGGACACCCTTGAAAGTGCCTCTGTATAGTCTGAAATATGTTAATAATTACAGTAATTAAACCAAAGGGAATTTTTGTTTTAAATTCTCCCCCTCCAAGTATAAATTTATGAACCTATCAAAACAATCTCTAATGATTAGAATGTAGATTTCAAAGTACATATTCTGGCTAAGAATAATTCTCTATCATCCCAGTCAAAAGCAAACCTTTTTGCCAGGGAGTTCAGGGAGTTCAATGAACTCTTTGCTCTCAGATCTTGAAGTATATTACTTGAGGCATCTCCAAACTTCATTCAGTGTAATAAATACTACCCTATTTTCAGCCTATTTTTTAAAAGGAAAACCCTCTAATCTATGTATCACACTATCTACCATCTCAGTAAATTATGAATCTGTTGGACAATTCCAACCTAATTTAGTGTAGAATTCTCACAGACAGGAAATTACTTCAATTTTTATGAAAATAGGGGATGAGGGAGCAAAGATAAACTGAAACCAGTGAGTCACAGAAAAACAGACTTCTTCCATTCTGGAACACCTTGACATTTGGAGAAAGGAATCAGCCAAAAGGGCAGGAATCAGCAGTAAAGATGTTTCTCTGTATTCAAGATATTCTTTCACCATCGTTTTCTGATCTGTCACTAAAGCTTAATAATAAGACAATTACATTGGTGATCAACTAATCCTGAGAGTCATGACACCTGAAAAAGTGTTCCTTGGACCAATTCCTTTGAATATCAGTTAGGATGCCCACAATGAAGCATGAACGGATTAAAAAACCTGCTTGGAGCAGCTCAAGTACCCAGAGCTGGGTAGAACTGAACAATCTGAGTCAGCTGCTCTTGCCTCAGCTTGAGAGCTTCGAGAGTTGTCAGTAACTGCCTGGATTGTCATCCTCCTTCTGAGTTAATGCACCAGCTAAGTTATTTGTGTCATGCTACAGAGGAATCAAGCATGCACAACTAAGCAGCACTGTCAGATCAAAAAAAGTTCTTTGTGTACATATTTTCCAGAGCATTTTGTACCAGAGGAGACCTCAGAGATTAATGCTTATTTTATCCAGATTATCAAACATGCTGCAATAGAAGATGTTG